GATCTATCAAGGAACTAGAAGCCAGGCAGGATTCTATAAAGAAGTATACAGTGTATGGAGGCATGACACAGGTATGCGATTTGTTTTAGTTTATGTAATCATTGCTTCAAGATGCAAGCTGTTAATATCATTTGATAATTTAATATTTCTAGAAAGAAATGACAGCATGGTGGAAGATATATAGTTGTCATTTGCCAAATTTTGATGACAATCAAAAAAGAGAGATTGAGGATGCGACTGGCTGTATCCCTCTCCTTTTACATTTTCTGGTGATAAACCAAACATCAGATCCAGATGATGCAATATCAGAACTTGTGAAATGTAAAGAAACATCTACAATATTTGAACATTTGGCTAGATACACAAAGGACATCGAAGTCAAAGGTCTTCAGAAAGAGTAAGTAATTATTTTGATCTGTTACTTGGAAAAAATCCTTTTACTTAAACCATCTATCCTTGGCCAGATTTTTGGATGTAGTCTATGGTTGTCTTCTCAATCGACAAATGTTATATCTCTCACGAAATCACTATGACAACCGCTATTTATATATCGATTCCCAGGGATTCGGACATGTTTCCAGTGGTTTCGCGCGGGATGCCATAATTCATTATCTTCGTGAAAGTGCACGTGATTACTTTCTAAGTGAGGCTTGGCGGAATATTTTCATCCAAATTAAGGATAATGCATCGATGCTTGGTTTTGCTGTAGAGCAAGCATGCTTAAGCTATATTTCATGTCATGGACTACCAGGAGGGGAATACAAACCTGATCAAACACTAATATTCGATGGTACTGCGCTTCCTGAGCTGAGTATGGCATGTTCCTGCACCTTTTATGTTCCAAAAATTTACAACTTCAGAGCCATCGATTCCTTGATTGTATCTATCGATTATAACAACCGAGAAGCCCACTTCATTCCCATTCAAGTTACCATTGCCGAAAGGCATTCAGATTCTGTTACGAAATTTTTTTCCCTTTGGGAAGCTTTGATCGAGCCTCTTTGCGATTTCACCAAGCATGTTACATTTTATTGGATTACTCAGAATGAACAATGGGGTCCTCTGACAGTAAATGAAGCGAGAAAGTCATTACGTAATAACACTTACGTTGTATGCCACAAACATACACAATACGCTATAAA